GAGACACGAACATCATAGAATTGTGTCCGCAGATGAGAAAGCACTATTCACCACATGCAAGACAATCACTGGTATGCTATTGCTGTGTTTTTATTCCTATAATAAAAATGAGCTTTGAGCCTTGGGCTGACTTCACAGAATTTGGTCTTCGCTTCTTGGCCTGTGGCAGTGGATTTATTCTCAGCTTCTTTCTGTAATTTGCAGATTGAAGAGACCCGGCAGAATATTGACAAAATTTCAAAGAATGTAGAAGAGGCAAAAAAGCTGTACAGCATTATCCTGTCTGCTCCTATCCCTGAACCGAGTGAGTAAGATGCAGGGTTTACAGTCTTCTATTGGACAGTTCAGAGCCTAAATCCTTCTTCCCAATTTCTTTAAACATTATCTCTGTATCGGGTAGAAGTAGAGAGATGGGGGTAGCTTCTGGAAAAGGCTAAATTCTTTGTCCTCTTATACTTGAATGGATTCATCCAGACTGAGGGGTGCTGTGTGTGGTGCAGTGGAGGAAGGATCTTTACTGCTGTTCTCCTACCAGAGGAAATCTATTTGTGTTCTGTAGAGACAAAGGATGACCTGGAGCAGCTGACAGCAGATATCAAGAAAACAGCCAATGCTGTTCGAAACAAACTTAAAAGTAAGAGACAGCTTCCTGGGACAGGCTGGGTTTGTTTTATTTATCTTGTGTCAATGTTTATTAAATGTTTATTTGCGTTGTTTAAATGTTTATTGCTTACTTAGGACACTTCTGTAGCCGCCTTTACATGGCAGATGCAAGTCCTGTGAGCATATAATGAATTCCATGGACATCTTCCCCAGTCTATCTGCCCTCCAGATGTGTGGAGCTTCAACCACACTGAAGGATGCCCACCTTGAGGAAAAGTTCTGTAGTCACTCCATGAAGGGGGAATACTAGTTTCTTTAAATATCAACACCCAGTCCATGTTCAAAGCTAACAAATCACAGTTAGGTTTGTTCTTCCTCCCTGAACAACATACTGCTTTAAATGCTAAGAGTTGACTTAAGATTTACAAGAGTAGAATACAGTACTGAGTTTAATTAGAAGTCATTGTGAACTTCCCTTCCCAGTTTAGATCCACATTCTGTTTCATTTGTTTTGAAATATCATACATTCAGTAAATCTACAATACAATACAATACAATACTGTACTGATGTCTATTCTAGTATTGGTATTTTTTTCTTAAGCTTTTCTTTGCCTTCCCCTCTGCCAATAGGTCTGTTAAAAAACTGAATGTTTATTTATATGACACACAGAGAGTGATTTTTATCCATGCATATATCCCTCTCTAGATGCAACTGCTATTTTTGAAGCTTCTAATCACTTTTCATTGATAAAATAATCCCAAAGCAGGGATCTAACAATGAAAGCAATTTAAACACAAGCATTTTACTATATAAACTTTCTACAGAATCCCCACATCTTAAAAACCCTAAATCAGCTTTAAAATCCCGTAAAACAGGCCAGAACAAACAGAGTATCAGCAGAATCAACGGGAACCCATTACATGCAACCCAAACAGAGGGTTAACTCTGCAGAATAGACCCAGCGCACCTTTCAGGCTGTGATGCTTCCTTCTTTTCCTTGGCTGCACAGGTATGGAGCAGGGCATAGAGCAGGGTGCGGCTCGATCATCCGCTGACCTGCGGATACGGAAGTCTCAGGTAAGTGGAGCTCCGTGGCGGTTAGATTAAGATGTCTTTGCCAGCGGTTAGCCAGGGGTAACTGAATGATACCAAAAGGAACTAGATGAGGCAGGACCGTGTTTTTGGATGCAGCAGTGGTGAATTGCTGGTGCTGAAGCCCTTGTCCTCTCATCTGCATAACCCTGGCTCCAGTCCCAGTTGGAATTACGAGGACTAGCATGCTCAGAGGTGCTCTATTCTTAGGCATATTTCATGAGTGGCCTCTAGGGCTTAACTGTTTCAGTGAGCACTGGAACCCAGCTTTAATTAAAAGGGAAGTAAGAGAAAGTGATGGTTTAAACTTAGCAGGTGGATTACCAGACACAAACTCTCCTTTAATTTGGAAGGATTGCAGGATTGGAGCTGTTTTCTGCTTTGACACAAATTTAGTGACTTTAAATATCTTGAAAATAGTTTTGGAGAATGAACAGAAGCAATGATTTTTGTTCATTTTTTCCAAAATAAAAGGAAAAGGAAAGAAAATTAAATTAGCTAGAAGAGGTTTAGCATCTGTTTTAGTCACAAACCAAGGCATCTTTTAGTTTTCATTTACCAAAATAAAGCCTGTAGATTTTACTTTGAAATGGAATGAAGGGCAGGGTCTCCTGAAGTATTATTTATTTATTTATTTTTCTTATCACCAGCATTCAGTCCTTTCCCGAAAATTTGTGGAAGTGATGACTAAATACAATGAGGCACAGGTTGACTTCCGGGAACGGAGTAAAGGGAGGATCCAGCGGCAGCTTGAGATCAGTAAGGATTTTTTTCCTTTGCCTTAGACATCACCTGAGTAGAGTAGGATCTTGAAAGCTTGGATGAGAAATGATTCTGCCTTGTTTTTAAAAGTGGAACTCTTCTGATAGAGGTATTACATGGTCTTGGGATCCTCCAGAGTCTTGTCATTGAATTCTCCCTCTGACATTTCCAATCATGGGAGTCAAAATACACCCCACCCACTCCCTTTGGAAGGCTCCAAGTTGAAAAAACAGCTCTTTCACCATTTATTTGACATGACATTTGAATGGCACTGACTTTTGATACACATTTCAATATGGCTGGACAGGTATCAGCAAGAGAATGCCATGCAAACCTCACCTCATGACTTAATTTTTGTTACCACCATCCTAAGCTGCTGATTTTTGAAATTTGGTTGAACCTACCCTTTTTAGCCTTAAGAACTAGGAATTGTTTTAAAAGGAAAATTGAAATCCTCAAGATGCTGACTTGGTAATATAAGTATATTATGTAAAACTGGTTAGACTCAGTTACAGAAGTGATGGGTGCACCGTTGGAAGACCTGAAGGATCAGGTTAGGGACAGGATATCATGGAGAAAATCTGTCTATGTGGTCGCTAAGAGTCCACACTGACCTGATGGCATGTAATCATCATGTAAAGCTAGTATATTACATAAAATTAGTAATATTTTATATGGACCTTCCTATATAAATCCTTTATGTATATCACTCTTGTGATAATCTCAGTTGGCCTGAAAGTTAGATCTACATACTTACATACCCATACCCTTCATATTATTTTCTTCGGGGCTAATCAGTGTTGTGCAGAGCACAGAAATGGAGTAAGAAGTAACGACCAAAGAAATTAAAGGTATGCGATAACAAAAAGAAAACTTAACTAAAACTAGTTAACAGTAGCACCATTCAACTAGTTCTCTCCATAACTTGTGGATCATCCTTGCTTTTACCACATCCATATTGCCTTTTCTTCTTTAAACATCTCACCTCTCTTTTTTGAGGGTGTCTTCAATTCCACCCTACTAAAATATTTTGTTTTCTTTCTCTCAACAAGTCACTTTCCTTTTGGGATTCAGTCCTCATTCATTCTTCAGTATGATCAAACTATCTCAACATAGATTTTTTGTACTGGTAACTCACTTTTGTATTTAATCAACATACGTTCATCCTCCTTTCATCCTTGATTATATCTCTAGCTTTACAATGTAAACTCCTTAAGTAACCCATTCCCACTACACTTATTTTTATATCCAACTTTCACTTCCATATAACCAGAATCATACTTTTATATGTGGCTCATTTTTGCTACTTTAGACAAACATCCATCCCTTGCAACAAACTATATTCTTTTCATTATATTTCTACCAGCATTTTCCTATGTTAGAGTTTTTCCATTTATTTTCCTATCTTTAATAAACATCCTAGCAAAGTACACAATTTTTTCTACTTATTCTAGGGTGGGTTTTTGTTGTTGTTTTGCTATTTATGTGAAAAGATTCCCTTCACTCTATTGTCCCAGTCAGACATGGCTAACTTGGTCTTTAATGTATTAATTTTCAGATTCATGCTCCTCCTTGCATCATATAATCTAGCATTTCCTGCAAATCATACAGATTCGTACCCCAAAACATGGCATCCCATGCATACTAACGTACACATCCATTCACACTCCCGACCAACACACATCTTAACATCATCAAAAGTATTTAGCCATAAAGACATTAAATAAGCCAGGTGACAGCACATATTCTTGACTGTCTCCTTGCTCAGTGCTGAGTCATTTCCTAAGCACTCTATTTATTCTCCTGTGTGTTTTATTTTCATCACACACTTCTCTTATTGCATTCATTCACCAATCTTCCACTCTCTATTCACACAAAATGCTCTATCATTCAAACCAATCATACACTTTCTCTAAACTAGCAAACGTACAATAAACATTCTTCCTCACGTTCAAGTTAATATTTTATCTGGTTATCTTTTTTATTATTTTCATTTTATACACTTTGGATGTGCTTCTATGGAATGGCAAATTACAATAGAATAATGAGTGTGTGTCTGTGTGTGTGTATCTCAATAGTGTGGTTAAGAAATACATTTTCCCCTGACTGGCTCTGAGAACAGAAAAGTGCAAAAGTGAATATCTGTGTGTGTGTATCTCAATAGTGTGGTTAAGAAATACATTTTCCCCTGACTGGCTCTGAGAACAGAAAAGTGCAAAAGTGAACATTATTATTGTGTGGTAATTATTACAATGTGCATGAACATGTTCATTCATATTATAATAATTGACATTCTGGTTTTCTCCCTCTCTTCTCTCCGGGATACAGCTGGAAAAAATACAACAGATGAAGAGCTAGAGGAAATGCTAGAGAGTGGGAATCCATCAATATTCACATCTGGGGTGAGTGTGTATGTGCAGTAAGCTGAGGAAGAACTTAAGGATCCTGAATACCAGGAAATCCTTATGGTTTGGATGAAGGATGGCTTGGGGTTTTGTTTTGTTTTTTCCTAATGGCATTAAGTGGTATTGATTGTAGCAATAGAAGGGTAAATGAGTTGGGTGGGAAGTGAAAATGAAAAGATATGTCCAAAGGGAGAAGCTGAGCTGGGGCAAAAGGAAGTATATGAAAACTCCTATGCAGAATATTGCCCAGTATCATTGCAGAAAAGGCATTTCCATGCAACGGTCTTTGGGTCTTCTCTAGATCATGGATTCCCAGATCTCAAAGCAGGCGCTGAGTGAGATTGAGGGACGGCATAAGGATATTCTGCGACTTGAGAATAGCATCAAGGAGCTTCATGACATGTTTGTGGACATTGCCATGCTGGTAGAAAATCAGGTAATTGAACTGTGGTGGAAGGATGCCGGATATATAGCCAAGGAGATTAAATAAACATCTCTTTGAGAAAGAATCATCTTGGGGGACTGAAATGATAGATCCT